GGAAGTGACGTCTATTGATAGCAACCTATAACAACTACAACTAATTAGTGCTAAATAGTGCGTAACTTAAATACACAGGATTTTGCAAAAAATTGCTATTCAAAAGTAGTTCCCTATTGGTTTCATCAAGAGAGCATAAATAAGAGAGGGAAACTTCTTAATGACGCGCGCGCCATGTTAATTCACGGCTGGGCTATTTTTAGTAACCGGATGAATTAAATTTCTCCTTACTCTCACTCCCCTGCGCCATAAACTTGCGCGCGCGCGAGCTAAAGAGCGAGCGTTTTGATCACTAAAAAAGAAGTTTCCCTCTCTTATTTATGCTCTCTAGGTTTCACGCGTGTGTCATCCTAGACGAAAATAGATGGAAGATATTTTCTAAGTGCGTTTAGAGTAATTCTGGTTTTCATTTTTACTCTGAACAACCAACTACTCTGTGGGCCATAACTTTATGCAAACTGTTGTTTCTTTTCTTTCTTTCATATGTACTATGATTAAAGCTTTCTCGGCAATATTAAAAACTTCAATGAGCAACTACTCAGTTACAAGTACATAGTTACTGGAATCTTATCCTTTTCATAGAAAAACAATGTTGATGTTTCTCATTATTTAGATTAATTCAGTGTCTATTTTTATTGTAAACAACTACTCTTTAGGCAATAACTTGAGCAGTCGCGCTGACTGCCTTTTTCATTATTTGTTTCCTGTAGCAGGATTTCAACTTTCTCGTCAAATTTTAAAATCTGCAAGGCGTGTATTGCATCGCCGGTAGAAGAAATCACAGTCGCTGCCTCAAACAAAGTTACTATAACCGTATCAGAAGTCAGTTTGGCTATCACCTATTATATAACTATTTCGACTTATAAATTTCACCAACCATATGACATGTTTAATGTCATTATATAGCCTATTTACAGTCAACTCCTCAGTATTTCAATTCCAATACTAAGGTTCACTGCATAAAATATTATAAACCTATTTTTTTTCATTTTCTTTTCAATGTTTCTAGCTTGAATGGTTAGCAATTGTTGTGAACCACTTATCCAATTTTCCCTGATTTTACTGCATTTTCAGGACGATAATAAATCAATACTGAATCTCCTATACAATTCTTTGCATCTTTTTAGTCGATCTCTTTTCCAAACAACTTCAGATCAAGTTTTACGAACAATGATATCATTTCGCCTGCCGTTCAAACACTCGTCATCTCTTAAACACGATCATATTCGTCAGTGTTGTCAGAGAAAAGGCAATTTAAAAACAACCATTCAAGAAAACTCAGTTGGTGTACTTACTCCGTGTTGGTCGAGGTAATTCTCCAGTTAACAAAGAAATCTTGCTTATTTTTATAGGTTATTTTCGAAGAAGGAAGTCAGAAAAACCAAGGCAAATGGCACGAACGTTATATTCCTCAATGTCATACAGTCTTCTCTGTTCAGTAAAGTGGTTTCCAAGTGATTTTGAAAACATTAAAACATCTTCATTATCTTAGGAGGCATGGAATTACCATACTAACAAAAGCGTTTAAGAGCGGGGGCCGTCTGAAAATATTGTGTATGTGGGATTCTACATGAAAAAATATATATTCAAACTTGTTCAAAATATGGTCTCACGAGATCAGCAAAGAGGTTGTTTCAGGTTACGTTAGCTGGGCCCTGACTTACATCAGCCCAGAAGTTGTTTCAGTGTTCTATCTGTGAGTTAGCTGTGCCCCGACTTTCATCAGCCCAGGGGTTGTTTTAGGGTTCAATCTGTGAGTAAGCCATGTCCTGACTTAGATCAGCCCAGAGGTTGTTTCAGGGTTCTATCTGTGAGTTAGCCATGTCCTGACTTAGATCAGCCCAGAGGTTGTTTCAGGGTTCTATCTGTGAGTTAGCCATGTCCTGACTTAGATCAGCCCAGAGGTTGCTTCAGGGTTCAATCTGTGAGTTAGCCGTGCCCTGACTTAGATCAGCCCAGAGGTTGCTTCAGGGTTCAATCTGTGAGTTAGCCGTGCCCTGACTTAGATCAGCCCAGAGGTTGTTTCAGGGTTCAATCTGTGAGTAAGCCATGTCCTGACTTAGATCAGCCCAGAGGTTGTTTCAGGGTTCAATCTGTGAGTTAGCCATGCCCTGACTTAGATCAGCCCAACTGAGGCAGATTTTTAAATCTGCTTATACACTCGATGTCGCATACACTTCGATAAAGCATCACTAAATCTGTCGTGCCTTTCTTCCTTTTTACCATTCACTTCCTTTCCCATTAAACAAAAAGAGTCGAAGGTTGTAATCTTATTTTAAACATGATATATAATATTTGATTTACGACATAATTGTAATATACGATGTATACTACGTAAACATCAGATTATGTAGACATCCAGGGAACAAGATAGGATTGATTCAAATTAGTGTAGGTAATAGGACTACATGCTGTCCAATTTGGAAAAAGTTGGACGAAAAAAATTCCGAGAAAAACCAGAGGAATTGTTTGAATTCAATCATTTCCAAATTGGACAGACATGTAGTCCTATTGCAGATTGATTATATCATCCCAAACTGTACAAGACTAATTCCATAAGTCACAGTTTTTCCTCGAAAGAATGCGAATGGAAACGATCCAAATTAATCTTTAATTTGGACAGGAAAGAGAATTTGAGAATAATACGATACAAGAGTGATGATACAATTAGAGTCAGAATACACCTCCTTTTAAAATTGTCTTGGCGGATGCAACTCTAATTTTAGTTTAAAATTATTAGGTATTTTGAAATTAGTATAACGGATATTAATTACCAGAGCTGGAAAGAACAGTTTAAAATAAATAAATTCAAAACTCTCGAAGTTAGGACTTTTGAAAAGTGTGAATTTTCTAAGAAAACTACCTTTGCTGGAAAGCATCTTTTGCCTACCAACTAATATTTTCATTCAATTTTCATACAATATATTTAAAAAATCATATCTTGGCGAGTTTTGGACTTATTATTCTCCAATCTTTCCAGCTATGGCAATTATTCTCCAGTCTTGAGAATTCTTGCAGATCTTTGGAATTACATGATAAAAGCGACAGAGCAGAAAAAAAATTTTTTTTTTGGCCTTTGCTATAAGAACAACTTTCCGATTTAAAGCTCCAATATTTTGTAAACACGCTCTTCTCAAGTCTCTCCACCTGCCTCCGGTCATAAGTTTCATTCCCAGTTCTTGAGGATCTAGCTTGCGTAGCCGCCCTCAATATTCGTTGGGTTGAGAGTTTGAGTTGGGATTCGGAGGGGGACTGGAAAGGAGGGGAGGGAAAAGGGAGTTCAGTCCAGTCCCCTTCCCCAAGAGTATTGAGGGCCACTACGCTACGCTACGCAAATATCACCAAGTAGCTTACTCTAGTTCGACAAGATTTTATCACGAGTTTGGAGAAACAGAGAAATAAATGAAGCGCTTATAGTTTTTGCATATGACTCTGGGTTAAATTAAAAAAGAAATCATTAAAGTAGCGACCTCATCGTTTTTCTGCTCTGCCGATAACTAGGTGTACACAAGTTTCGTCATTTGCATTCTTAAGGTTTCTTTTGGCGTCCAACAAATGTATCCATAGCAACATCGGCTCCAAGGAAATGAAGTAGCAAATCACTTGCCTTGGTTGGCAATATTCTGTTGACAAAGAAAAACATATAAAGTTATTTTTGCTAGTGTCCGCAGTCGTACTGCAAGGGGAAGTTTACGGATGTCATTCAAAGACTTAGACCGCACACGAAGCAAATGTTGCGCGCACTGTTGCTAACGAATTTGCACAGGTAGTCCAAGCTATGATTTTTGTGGGGGACTGGTGGGAGTCTGTAATATGTTATTTTTGAAAACTACTGAAATAAATGATACCAAATTTTTAATCTTGACCCGCTCTTTATCTTTGTCTGTACTTCATTTCAGCCAATTTTAAGCCGTTGATCCGTCCGCGCTGAGAGATACTTGAGAAGGTTAATGCAGTACTTACCCCTTGGCAAAAAGGCTGACATTAGCTAAGAAAGGTATTAACAACATTATCTTGTTTCTCTTTACGGCATCAACAATGCTATCGGCAACACTCTGGGGACTAAGGACCTGAAGTCCTGGTAGAGATGGGTATCTGTTGATGTGGGAAAAAGCCGGTATGTTTAAGTAAAAATTGATTTCTTTGTTGTTGGAGGGGAAATACTGTAGTATAAAAATTGCCCGAAATTTAATTTGGCTGAAACTTCAATGGAATAATSTTTAAGGGTTTAATAATCACTGGTTAAAGTTTTTTCTTTATATTTCAATGGGAAGTATTATATTTTTACGAAATTTTAATGGTGTGGGTAACGTAATTTACTCGACACCATTTCGTGTATTCGTATTTTTAAAATACCCTTAAGTTAAAAGGGCACTGATGGGGAGACGAATTAACAGTTGCAAGTGTTGGTTAACTAAAAAATCAGCTACTAGCTGAAGGAATTGCGCTGCTAACACGTCGTCTTTCACCACTGTGGTTCCAAAGGTTCGGCTCACTAATTCCAGCCCTGCCCGTGCGAACACCATGTGTGAATTGAGTTTGTTTGATGTGTTGTTCTCTCCTATGTCATGGGGGGTTTCTCCGCGTCTCCAGTTTCCCCCCTCCATAAAAATCAAGGCATGCATATGTGAGTTGAGCGTTGTCTACAAAGAGCATTAAATGGCATGGACTAGTAAGGTGTGTGCGAGTGTCCCCAATTGGTGAGAAGCACTAATAGAACTGGACACTTAAAAACCTTTATTATTATCTTTATGTTATATTTAGCAATTATTCGCCGTATAATTGTTTTAACATATACCAACTTGTGTACAGAGTAACTTATTTTTATATACAATAATTCAATAAAAACAAACAAAAACTTTTAGTTCGCGTGACAAATTCACACAAAACTTTTAGCAAAACTTTTAGGCCATACTTCGCTGCCTTTTAAGTATTGATTGGAATGACAGTAACTTTCATTTTTTCAATTTCCTCATCGGAAATCGTAGCAACGGGAAACGATTGCCGGCAGATGCCATTTTGTTGCCGACTCATTTATTTATTTCATTTAAAACCTTTAGTTTCATTTATGCAATAAAGAAAAAATATATACTTACTTTAATTTCACACCCTCAAACATTCCAGTTGAAATAAATGAAGGACAAATAGTTGTAAAATGGATTCCTGTCTTTCCCATAGCATAGACTTCTTGCCGCAAAGCATCCATCAGTCCAACTGCTGCAAACTTCGACCCACAGTAATCAACACATCTAACCAGACCAAAATGACCAGCAACTGAAGCCGTAGAAACAATATGACCTTGGTTCTTCTCCAGCATGTGTGGAAGAAAGCTCTTGATGGTCTGTAAGATAGATAACAAGTAAACAAGTGGAATGATACAACTCAAATAAAAAATATATTGAATGGTTGGTCGGTACAAGTAACTCCGTTCGCCGACCACTCACCGTTATCTTACCGTTACCTTACCGTTATCTTACCGTTACCTTACCGTTACCTTACCGTTACCTTACCGTTACCTTACCGTTACCTTACCGTTACCTTACCGTTATCTTACCGTTACATTAGAGAGTTTAAGACTCTCGTTTACGGCAAACGTGAAACGTCAATTGACCATTAAACAAATCTTTAAAATTAGTGAAAAGGAATCGCAAAAATCTCCAAGTAGTAGATAAACRAAAGAATACTTGTCTTTGTCGAGAAGGTTTGCAAAAGGTAAAGTGAAATGTAGGGAAACGATGAAAACGTGGTAACGTTTGCTGTTTTGGGGAAGGAAAAACGGGAATCTTAGAGAGCTTTAGATTTACGTTCACGCCAAACTTGAAACGTCAATTCACCATTTAAAAATTATTCTAAATAGCTTAAAAAGAATCGCAAAAACGTCCAAGTAGTAGAAAAACAAAAGAATATTTGTCTTTGGTGAGAAGGTTTGTAAAAGGTAAAGTAAAGTAAAATACAGGAAAACGATAAAAACGTGGTCACGTTTGCCGTTTGCGGGAAGAAAAAAAGTCAATCTAAAACTCTCTCTTAATCTGCCTATTACCGACCAGAAACGGCATTTCTTTGTTGAGACGTCTTTCTTTAGTTTTGTTTACAAGTTCGAATTTGATAGTTAACTATATAGAGCGCGATCGACAGACCGAATTTAACCGAATTCAACGTCCAAAAGAGGTATTTGGTAGGTTTGGTTTCCAACTTTTTTAGCATTCTAATAGCCCATTTCCAAGATGTCATGACCATTTGGTACATAGCAAGGCTACGTGCGAAGATACGCTTGCCGCGAACATAGTCAATTAACTATGCCGCGAAATATACCGTAAAAGCGTTCTTGAGAAGTTCCGGCTTTGACGTTTTCTTTATAAAATTGTAAAGTGGTATTAACTAAATAGTCATTTTTCTTTTACGCGGGTTAAATAAAATCACTCTTTCACGTGTTAAACAAAATTACATTAATATTGTTGCTTGAAAAGCCAAAACCTCTCAAGAACGCTTATTTTTTTCGTCGGCTTACCCAGTAATGTGCTAGAGCATTAACTTCAAAGGTCCTAGTTATCTCCTCATCACTGCACATCAACAACTTCTTCCCACTGACAACTCCTGCATTGTTCATCAAGATATCTATGTCCCCCACTTCTTTCTTTACTTTATCAGCAACCTCATAGATCATTTCTCGTTTGCACAAGTCGCAGACATAGTAATGGACTTCAGCTCCTAAAGCTTTGATTTCTTCAGCGACAGCTTTTAGGCCATCGGTATTGACATCCCAAATGACAAGCTTACATCCTAAACGATTTAGAAAATCCATTGAAAATGGTCACCCCTATACACAGGGGCGGATCCAGGAATTTTTATTGAAAGGGGGGGGGGGGKGCTTAAAAAAAGGGGGTGACTGACGATAGACTGAGAAATTTGAGCAAAAGGTGAACGACTAATCTGCCCCTGATACACCCTATATGAAAAAGGGTGTGTCAGTATGTGGATGTGTCAAAGACATTTGGTTTCATTGGGAAAAAAAGTTTATTAAAATCAACAATCTTCCAAATTTTGGTGTACACCTGTAGTAACATTAAATGACAAAAAGCTACAATGGTGTTTGAAATAAGCTGTTTGCATGATGCCGGCATCATTACTACCACTATAAAAATGCTGTACAAATTTGGTTTCTTATTCAGATTTGTTTTGCCTCATCTGAATAGTAAGACAATTGCTGCTAATTAACTGAAGAAAAGAAAGTGTGCAAGGGATTCTGGTAATTGTAGTAATTGATGATGACATAACAGAAGTATCCTATTAGAAAGATAAATTGAATGTGAGCGCTAACAAAGGGCCAACCAGCCTCTCTTTCATGTTCTTGGTGCATTTTGATTGCTTATAACTCTGCAGTGATTTAATATATGACAACATAACTCTACAAAGTTAATCTAGACATGCTCCTTCTTATGTAAAGTAAAGGTTTTTTCTTAATCATTCATTATTTGTGGTGCTTCTACCTAGTCTTTAAGTTTTTTGCTCATTTTTTTATAGGTGGTACAATGTAGGTAAGGTTTCTGGGACTCTATGTCCACATCTCAGGACTAAAGGTGTTGATACACATCTCTCTTGTGTGTGCGCTTGATATTTACATGTACAAAGTCACACAATAATATAATAGGTGCAGGGCCTACGATGACAAAATTTGTTTTGGTTGATTGAACGTTATTTACTGTAAATTGCCAATCAGAAATCTGTTGGACAATCTACAGTAGCAAAGCAAAGTGACAAAACCTATTATTTAAAATGCTTTGCTTATCAACATCACAATGGCAAATAAATGTTTATAAACATTAGGTCCACCTACTGTGGAGCTTGAGTACTGTTTAAAGCCTGTACCATGTTTAGCATGGGCAGCATTAAAAGGTTCACAATCCAGTTATATGAGCCATAATGACTTATGGACTACCAAATAGCTGTTTTATTTAAATAGAACTCTATCAAAAGTAATACTATTTTTTTAGAATATATAATGATTGACTCATCTCATAAAAGTTTTAAAAAAACACAATACACTCTCCTGGACGACCACACTTCACAACAAACTTCAACGTCTGGGTTCAAACCATTTACTTTTAGAAAAGATAGAGACAAAAGTATTGGATTTTTCAACAAAAGTTCATTATTGATTACTCAGAATTTACATAGAACCTCTTCTCTATGTAAACAATGAGTAATCGATTAATTTTTTTGCTGAGAATGACAACATGAGGTTGTCCAAAAGTCCAATATTTATGTTGTCACTAATGTTTTTCAAAACCATTACTCAAATAGGTTGGCTGATATAAACTGTAGGGCAATAAAAGAAAGCCAATACATGTGTTTGGATGTATATTCTTGTTTTGTTTTCATTGTTGAATGATTATCTGGTTTTTTTTTCTTCCTCTCTTCTTCATTAAATTGCATAATGTATTTAGACATCTAATAAATATTACTGTACAATGAAAAAAACAAAATAAAACAAACAAACAAACAAATAAATAAACAAATAAAGGAATGCACAAATAAATGAATGAATAAGTGAGCATATGATTAAATTAATAGTTCTAAACTAGAAAGATTTATCTAATCAATTTTGTCCAATTTTTGATGCCAGAGTATATTTCAAATAAATTTCTTTTCACACAAGCTTATTTTTATTTAACTGAAGTAAATTGATCGATTCACTTTTATAACGATGAAGAACATATTATCCTCCTTAATCCTACTATCAAATTTAACAAGCCCTTAGGTTTTCCTCTAACACTTAAGATTTAAACACACGAGCCATAAGGGAGAGAAACAAAGGTGTACTTTAGTGAACCAATTAAACTAAATGGTCAGGGAATTCAAAAAAAGCTTGGAACCAGCAACAAAAAGCCACATAACGAGCAACCATAACCCACACAAAAAGCCACACCAAGCCACAACGAGCCACAACGATTAAAAAGAGTAATACAGGAAATTTTAGAAGAAATTTTTTTTCCAAGCAAATAGATGAAAAGGAAACAATCCTACTATTGCCTGAAGCAAGGATTTTATGTGTGATTAAACATGTAGATTGTATGCAAGAGCAGCTGGCTGGAAACTATTAGAATTCAGTCAAGATTTAACAAAAAATATTTGATAGTAAAAGAATTAATTGGCCTTTTTTATTTAAAAGAAATAGAAAACAAAAAAGGAAGTTGTCAATTTTATTAATAAAAAAGACGAATGAAAATAGGAAAATGAAAAACTAAAAAAAACCTAAAAAAATCAGTGAACTTAAAAGAAGTCAACCTTTCAGTGCACCTATTTTACAAACAAGGCTATAAATGAAAGAAAAGAAAAAGGAAGAAAAGAAATGAAAAAAGAAACGAAAAAATGAAGAAAGACGAAAAATAATCAAAATTCCCCTAATTTTTAAAAATCGTATGTAACAGTAAATCCCTAAGAGGGGGTCGGACATGAATGAAAGAAAAAGCTCTTAAAATAAGGGGAAAAAGAGGAGAAAAGAAGGAAGGAAGAAAAATAATTCGGTCTGCAGAAATTTGACAAAAGAGGATTCGATTCATAACAATTCCTAGATAGCGAATGCTTAGGATTTTAGGGTTAGAATGCAATGTCACACACTGCATAAGGGAGAAAACATAGGTGAAATCTTGGCACGTTATGTCACCCTACTATCGGCCAATGTAAATATGGGATGAGCTCCATCATGCTTCGTAAATTAAATCTGGACCCATGTATTTGTTTAGTTAAATAAATAAAACAGCAAAATATCTCAGAAAATTCCTAGCAAATACCTTCTTTAGCCAGATTTATTGCAGTAAGTCTACCAATCCCGCTAGCTGCCCCCGTTACAAGTGCCCGTTGACCTCGAAGACTTTTGCGCTTGGCTGGAAGAAAGCAGCTGATAAAGGACCAAAGGACATGAAGAAAGACACGAAGCAAGACTTGGAAAAACATCACTACATCCCACATACCAGTGAAGTATAGAATGAATAGAACGGCTTGGACGAAGAGTATTAAATATAAGACCCAAATCTCCATGATCAGATTATTTAGAATCGTTCTGTATGGAATCTTTGCATGGAGTGTCTTGTCTTTGTTTACGCCGGTGTTTTCGATGGTTTCGGTCAACTTTCGGAAAATATCGGAATAACATCGGATTGTGTTCGTAGATCTTCGATGTCTTCATGCACCTCAGGGAAACAGGGAACCCAGAGCTGATTTCTTTTCCAAGAGTGAGTTCTGAATTCTTTTTTTTTTCCATAACTATAAATCATTATAACGAAGTACAAATATTAGAACGAGAAAAAAGAAATGTCTTGATCCTAGCAATCGCCACTGAATTATAATATAAGTGAGTTTTGAAAAAGGCTCCAACAAAAAAAAGAAAATATTATTCTTAAACTTTCTTAGCTTTTTGCTTCAAAATTAGAAAAGAAACAAGAAAATTCTGATAAAATAACGAGAATCAATCGAACTGCTCGAGAATCGATGATTCACATTTTCGGAACAAAGTCGGGGAATTATCCGAAAAGTTATTGACGACCAATCGACCAAAACAGTACATCGGCTAATCGATATCTAGTCGTTTCCGGATCAAGCTTACTATTTTGGATGGATTGAATCATCAAGATGAAGTAATTCACCATGTCGATGTGAAGCTGTCCTTTTTATTTTCTTTATGTTTTCACTACATATTTAATCTACCATGGGCACTGATAGCTACACTGGTTATTGGAGAACCATATCTTTGGATATAATTTTTTACTGAGCGCCAAAAATTGAGAAAACGTAAGGAATTCGTTGGGAGCCATGCTTGAGGGGCTGGCAGCATGGATACTACGAACTTATGTTGGAGAATACGTGGAAAATTTAAACACAGATCAACTATCTATTGGTGTTGGTGAGTTCATTGGCTCTATAATTTACTAGCTACATAGAAAAATAAGTATTATTGTGGCTGGAAAGTGGCCAAATGACTTAACTAGGGAATTAAAATTTGATGTGGTCCAAGTATTTTATCAAAATCTGGAAAAATTGTGAGCCAAAACTACCCATTTCTTGCCATTGATATATTTGAATACCGTAAAGCTAAAAGATTTGAATGTAGTATAATGTTATGGCTTATAGGGTTGAAATAATTTAAGTAATAAATGTATTTTCACACTAATATAAGTCTTGTATATTTGTATCACAGATATATACATAGCCTTGCAGTGCACTGCAAATAAAATAATGGTTGAATATATTAAATATGAGAATGACAATAACATCTATAAATCAATATGTAAAGGAGATTGATATCAGTAGTTAATTACCAAAGGTCAGAAGGCTTGGTATTTTGGTATAATTAACTCTTGGAAAAACAATCTAATTAATATAGGAAACAGCTTTAAGTGGTTTGTATCATAATTGTAAATAGTACTGTATACTGCATTAAGATAAGTGGAATACATGTACTAACATTTAATAACAGGGCTAAAAGTAATGAATAATTAGTCACTGATCTTGATGACTAGCCAAATTACTTTTAGTTCAGTCATTCCTCATTTCTGGCTAAATTGTGTTACTGATCAAAACCCCGGGGGGGGGGGGGTACTCCCCTATATTCGTTATACGGGTACGTATCGCTAAACAGGGTATGGTTTTCAGCAATTTTACTATGAAACAGGGTATATAAAAATTCATGCTTGCTCTGGGACAGGGTATATGAAATCACGCTCTCTCCTCTCTGGAACAGGGTATCTATTTTCACAATACAGGAACTGGGTATGGTTTTCAGTGGTCTTGCTCTGGGACAGGGTATAAATTTCAGCAATTTTACTCTGGAACAGGGTCAGGGTTCAGAGGGCTCAGTGGCCCATTCCTACCCTAAACAAGCAAGAGTACCCCCCGGGGGGTCAAAACGGCCAGCAAGGCAAAGATTTGACTGGACAATTTCTGATTCTGTCCGGACGTTGTCTCATGACCAGCCCTGGATCATAGCAATAGCTGTAGTTATAAGATGCCTTTAATACATGTAGCTCAAATCGTGATATCAATTTGCATTACATTGATGTTTTGCAAGCTAAAGGACTTTACCATCTAATAGCAGAAACAATCTTGTTTGAGCATGGTAAGAACAAGAGCTAACAGAGCTGCAGTTAATTCATATCTTTAATAAATAAACCCAAATCTGGCGGCTCAATTATATCAGCTGATGATGTCCAAAGATTGGAAATGGCCCGCAAAAGCACAGTTGCCTGAGACATGAAGTTTTTAGGTCCATTTTTTATCAAAGGACATTGGACATTGCAGTTGATGTGTTTTGCATCAAAATACGTTGGTTTTAATTATATAATCACATATTATAAATAGAAAATTATTTGCATATTATGTATACTATACACACCATATGTTAGTATCTTTGAGGTATTCATGTTCAGACATGATAAATTAAATGTAAGATTATGGATAAAACGTGTAGGATTTTAAAAGAAACATAATGTTTCAGCTATACTATAGTTATAGCCAAAACATATTTTTTTGAAATTCCACCCGTTTTATCTGTAATCTTACATTTAATTTATACCATATGTTGTTTAGGAGTAACTGTCATAAATCTCACTTCCTGATAAGTTTGAATAGTTGTTTTTTGGATAGAAATAACAAAATAAAAAGTGTGCATTGTGTCATCTTGTTTATGACTGGAATAGATTCCTCCAAGTGTATACAGTACTACTGTACCTTGCATTAAGAGCTTGGAAATGAATTCACATGAGTGATAAAACACAGGTTTTTTTAATCATTCGAACAAACACAGCTGCCGTTTGAGCAAGGCCCATGCTGTATGTACATGTATACTCTCACAAAAAAAACATGCAGCAACCGATCAGAAAGCAAAATGGTTATTTGAAAATAATAAATGACGCTTCTGAAGCTTTGCCAAAACATATCAAGTAAAAACTTCAGTTTAATGTTTTTGAATTGTTAAGCATTTGTTTCTTTTAAAGTGCACATGAACCCTTCGACAATACTTTCAGTACTG